TTGAACAGCAGCTTTCCCCCAGCTGGTAACTACCATTCTGCTTTCCACTTCTATGAATTTGATTGCCTTAGAGACATAAGTGGAATTATTACAGTACTTGACCTCTTATGACTGGCTATTTATTTCACTTAGTATGGTGTCCTCAAGGTTCATACAAGGTTCATATTGTAGTATATGAGAGGATTTTCTTCCTTTTAAAAGCTATATAGTATTCCATTGTATATATATACCACAGTTTGTTTATTCATCTGTCCGTGGACATTTGTGTTGCTTCCACCTGTAGGATGTTGTGAATAGTGTGAACACAGATGTACAAATATTTCACTAATATTCTGTTTGCAATTCTTGTGGGTATATACCCAGAAGTTATACTGACAGATATGCTTTTTAAAGCTCCAATTTTCAGCTTATTCAATCCCTTGAAATATTTTAAGTTTCTCTTTGACATCCAGTCTTAAATGTGAAGAGGTCAATACGTGGAAGTTAGATAAGTCCATGATGACATTAAAATCATATTAGTGCTAAGTAGGAATAAAAATAAAAACTATAAAGTGGTATGAGGATTGGTTCTTTTTTTGTAAGTTCATTCTTAGTTTTTTCAAAGTTGATTTTGCCTAAGGGTCAATGTAAATTCATGTGAGCCTATTAAAACACTGGGACATTTCATAATAAAGTGGACTCTAAAGTCGAAAGTGGCATCATAGGAAGAATAAAGGTGACTTGTAAAGACTTTGATTCTTTGCTGACAGGAAATGAGCTGGTGTTCATTGACTGGCTGGTATTCATTTCTTTTTGCTGAGAAATCTTACAATTACTGTGGGCCCTTAGAAAAGAGATGGAGACCAAGGATGTCAGGCAAGTGAACTCACTGCTCTCTCACTCCCATTTTGGCCGACATTCTTGAACCGCCATGAGTTCAATTCCGTGAGGACTGTGGTGAAGCAGACAAACTTGATGTGATATGTATGTGTTTTCCTACCTTCCAATGGGCCAGTGCTGGAAAAAACACTTAAAAATTTTTAGTATTGTTAAAACTTGAATAGCAGGAAGGAAAAATGGAAGAAGTGACAAGCTTAGATAATTTAAAGGTGGCAGGCAGAATGTGTTCCTAATTGAAGTCTGGGCTGTAGAATTCTGCATTTCACTGCTCTCAATTTTCTGCTTTCATTTAAGAACAGAGGCTACAGTTTCAGGGGGAAATAAATGTTTCATAACTTTCAAATACTAAGTCAGTTGGATAAAAAATTATTATTGTAGTCACATTATTTCAATATAGTAGCAAAGGAGAACTCAGCTTTTTCCAAATTGCTGAAAAGGTAAATGGCAGCTATTTCAGGACTTAATGAATGGTCAGTGACAAGATGGGAAGATACAGGAAAAAAACTATCATGTAATCTGATACATCTTAGTGAAAGAAATAAAGAGTGAGGTAAAATTTAAGATGAACTGTTACATACCACTATGTGGATGGATTCAAGCTAGCTGGGGTAGAGATTGAAATATGAAATGTATTAAAAGGATTCTGAATGGTTCACTCAGAAAGCCTCTTTTGTGTACCTACCATGTGATAGGCTTGGTTTTAGGTGCTAAGACAAGTCATGGGCCAAAAAATGTCCATTTTTGTGGAGCACATATTCTAAGTTGAAGGAAAACATAAATAATGTGTTAGTGATATATATTATAAGGAAAAGCAGAGAAAGTGGTGCCTTAGGTAGAGTGATCAGAGGAGATTCCAGTGTGGTGAAATGTGCAGAGACGTGCATGAAGGAAGTGAGGGACGGAGCTGACCATGCTAACATCTGGCAGATGTATGTTTGAGGCAGAAGGAACAGCAAGTGCCAATCCCCGAGGTGGAGGTGTGGGGTGTGGTTGCCTTGTCTGAGATCAGCAAAGAAAAGGGAACTTGACTAAGAAGGTAGAATGGGGTTGGGAGACTGTGAGGTGGGCAGAGAGAGGAGATAAGGCTAAAGACGAAGTTTGAATAAGAACTACTTTTTTTTTTATACATTTTTATTGCTATGAGGACTTACAGGTCATCATGAAGATTTTTACTGTTTGAAGGATCCAAAGTAGAGAGAGGAATCTTATGACCTGACTTGTGAGATAAGAGGACATGTAGTTAGGAGGGCAAGAGGGAAGCAAGGAGACCAATCAGGAGGCTTACTCGAGTAATCCAGGCAAGAACAATGGAGCCTGAGCCCTATGGCATCAGTGGCCAGGGTGACAAGTGGTTAAGAGTCTCCATATCTGGCAGGGATCAGCCATCACTTGATAGTCAATATGGCGTGTGAGAAAGAGAGGCAGCAAAAATGACTTCAAAGTGTTTGAACTTGAGTAACTGGAAAAGAAGTTGCCAGTAACTGAAATGGAGAATATGCCAGGGAACAAGTTTTTGAGAGGGGGACCAGGAGTATAGTTTTGAACACATTAAATTTAAGATGCTTCTCAGAACTCTAGACACCTAAGTGGAGCTTTCAAGTAGGAGTTAGTTCACTGGAAA